GAACAGTTCACTTGCCCACTGAGAGAGCGCAAATACAAACAGAAGTGGGCAAGAACTGGGAGTTGCTTATCTTAGCCAGATGTGCAAGTTTGTGGAACGCGAGTGATGTAGCAGGAGTATTCTACCAATATCTATTGTCTGGTACTACTAAATGTTTCAGATACACAATACTATTTTTTGGTCTTTATTTTAATCTTTTTGTTTGTTTTTTTCTGTTTGTTTTTTGTTTTGTTTGTTTGTTTTGGCATTTTTGAATGCTTATTTGCTTACCCGTGAAGCAAAAAAGGAATGGATGTTGTGGTAGTAAGAATATGCTTGCCACATACTCCTTTGTGAATGCATTGTGGTAGCTTCTAATTAAATGATCAAACTGTTCTTCAAAAATACATGACTTTTTTACTTTCACAATTTGAGAGGCATATTTATATTCTGTGAGGTTTCTAATTCAGTACATTGTATTGAAGTTATAATGTTAAGAGCTTACTGTGGTATGTGGCTCTTTTTTCACGCATCTGTCTGACAGTTGCAGTAGTGAAGGCTGAAGTATATTCCGTAAATGGTTACAAAGTACTTTTTTTTGATGATTATCCTGCAAGATTGCTCTTTTTTTCTGAACAGAAGTCATCCATCAGAGAAAAACCTGTGAAGCTAACTATTGTTTAAAATATTGATAAGACTTGCTACATTCCAATTTTTCACTGCAGATATTTAAAATTGTGTGTTAAACTGTCATGTGCTCTGTAACTTCTTTATTTTGAAATCTCAATTTGGATACAGTGTTAGGAAATACTTTTACTCATTTTGTATCATTTTGTTATCTTATACAACTTTGTAAGATTGCATTGAGTGAGGTACAAAGAGCAATGATGTCTTATGCTGTTCAGCAAATAGTAGAAAATGTGTGGTTCTGTTAACAGGCCATGCTAGTGAATTGCTATATATTCCTCAGCAAGAGGCTTCCTCTCTGGTTCTCACAGGCATTTTCCCTGTGAGTTTTTGAATTGCCAGAAGAGTTTTTCATTACCAAAACCTTAATGTAGAGTGAAGACTATCACTACATTTCCAGACCCATGCTTGGTGGTGATAAGGAAAAATGTGGCAAAAATGGATGTAGGGTTCCTACCTCCAGAGAAAGGAAGTATATAGTAAAGATATATAATCAAGTGGTCACAGCAATTACACTAATAGTGACTTCTTTTCAGTGTGTTTCAAATGATATTTTTCTGTATGCTATGTTAAGGCCTATTACTGCTGCCTGAAGGGTGCTGAATTGTGTTTCAGCCATCCTTTGGTGGATCGGTTTCTCACCATCTTCAGAGCTGCCCAGTACAAGAATGTTAGAGAGCAGTTTCTTCGTATTAACGGCACGTGAGGCTTGTTTAGAATTCCAAGGTTTGAATTCAGGTTTGTTTGTTTGTTTGTTTGTTTTTTAATGCTTTTTAGTGGTTTTTTTTGGCTACTCAGTTGTGTTATAGAAATAGGTTTGTTTAACCTACTGGAATTGAAATTGTACAGGTATGACCAAAAGTTGTTTTAGGCTAACCTTTAAAAGTGAAATTTTTTAAGAGTTTTTTTTTTTTAATTTATAATATGCACCTAATATTTCTAAACCTATGTAACTCTACAATAGTACAAAAATGCTTAAAACAAATGTTGTTTGCTGTGCATGCCTGTGATATGAAAATAGAGAACATGGAAAGGACATAATTTTGTCATGTATATTCTGTTAGGAGTGGACATTTTTGGCTTATTATTTGGTGAGCAATAACTTTTTGGATGCCCCTATCATGGACTAGATAATATAGAAGTATCATTAAAAAAATTGCAAGCTACTTGGTTGCTTACTCCCCCCACCCCCTCTTTGAATTCTGTATATATATGTTTACAATTGAATACTGAAAAACCAAATTGTGAAGTTATTAGCAAATATATTTGCTGTTTGGTTGGTGTTTGGTTAGCTAGAGATAGGTACACTCTGGTGCTTTGAAGTATCAGAACTCCCATTGACATAAGATAGCCAGAAACTGACACCGAAGTTGTGTGTCCCAAGACTGTCAAACAGGTTCATGGTCGTATATTTCCTTGGACTTCAGCATTCTTTTTAATATCATTTTCCATGTACTGGTGTAGACTATCGCAGCTGAAGTCCATATATTTTGAAACTCTACAGCTGATTAGTGTAGTTCTCTGTACCCTCATAGTATAACTCCTACTTTAAAAAAATTAAAATCAGTAGAATTTTTAAAAAATTAACATTAATTAAAAGCATGCACAGTTAATTTATGCATTAAGGTTTTAAGAGAGGATTCAGTTTCTTTCCTGCTTAGAACTCTACATAGGACCATCTCAAATTACCTATGACATCACCTCACTTCATGGAATGTGACTTCCAATGTGATGCTTTATTGGAGAAGTAAAATTATGATAGAAGGCAGAGCTTTTCGATAATTCAATATCAATATGGAACTGTTAAAGTAATTAGGATTAGTGAGCTTTAAACACCTTCAGAACAGAATAGCATATCTGTCTCTTTGTTGTACAGTTCTGAGGTTGCGTAGACTCCTTAAAAGTATGTAGTGAAAAAATTCTTGAGATTCTGAAGCCAACGCACGTGAAAACAGCCCCTTAAATTCAGTTACTAGTGCTTAGAGATGGAGGGATCTTAATGTGCACGCTACCATTTTTTAAAACTGAGGTATGAAAAGCTAAGGTGATATGAGATAGAAAAGCTTAAGCAGACATAGTGTTACATTTGTATTAAAATTCAATATCAAAATAAATGCAGTAATAGTTGTTACTTGTCTACAAGTGTGTTCCCCTTATCTGTTGGTCTAATCCTAAACCTATGATCAGGTGTGCTAATTCCAATAAAGAAGTGTGGATCTGAAGCTTTTTTCTACAGAAAATGAATGTTTTATTCTGTATGTTTTTACGCTTCATTAGAAAAGCTAGTGTTTGTTGCCAGCTCTCTTGAATCTCATGAATTTCATATTTTTGTATTAGTTGTTTTAAAGAGGATTTATATTTATAGAATTAAAATTTTTGATTTTGCTTTTATTAATTGCTTTTTAAATTTAGATTGATTTTACTTGTATGGTACTATTTGTCACCCTTTAATCTATCCTGTTAATTAATGTTAAATAAATCTTACAGACATATGAACAGAAAATTAATTTTTTTATGTGTTAAGGTGCAAGTTTACTGTTTATTTTAAGGTGTTCAGAGGTGTTTGTTTCTTACCATGGTAGCTAAGAATTGAATGCAAGCTGATGTAATGATCTGAATACTTTTGAGGCAAAACACTTTTCCAGTAGAAAACTGAAAAACAGAGAGATAAGTATTTAGTAAGTACTCGTATTTTATAAAGTTAGTATCAGTATTATACCTGTTTTCAAATGAAAGATTATAGGTATTTGTGCAAATCGGAGTTTCTTGAATGCAAATTCAGTGTGTTTTTCATCTTTGTTTCCTTTTTTTACCATGACTACTAAGTTAACCCATCAGAAGTCATAAGGTTTTGGTAGCCAGAATGAAAATCCAGTTAACATCAATTTCAATCCGTGGCATTAAGTGCAGACATCACAGATGTAGTGCTCCCATCACCACACTGAGAACCTTTAATTGTTCTACTATTCCCAGTTAGGTTTCAAGGTAGGGAAATTATTGTAATAGCCAGGTGATATTTATAGAAGTTGTTCATCCAGCAGCCTGAGATTCATGCAGTCTTCACTCATCTTTTTTTTACAAGTCTTCCTATATCCTTTAGTCCACTTTTTTACTATTTGCCAGATTTCTTTAAATTAAGTAGGAAGCAACCACTATTATGATATTAGGGCCCAATATGCATTTCAGGGTATTTAATGTTTCACCTTCAACTTTTTTTTTTTTTTTTAAAGTCCAACCGGCAAAACACAGATCTGTATCTGCACTGTTATCTGCAGAGATAAATCCTCTTTGCAAAGCTACATTTTTCTGTATCCTGATATAAGATTGAATTCTGAAAGTACACACAGATGTACGTATCAGTTAAGGTAGGGCAAGCTGCAAAGTATCTTGCAAATATTTGAAATTTGAAAGCACTTGAAATAGCAGACAGTTACGATAAATAGTAAGATGATTAAATTCAGAAAAAGGATCTGGGAAAATTTCTCTCTAATGGAGAATAGAGAAGTATCTGCTAGAAATAGTTTGAAAAATTCACTGAGTATCTCTTTCTTCAGATTATTTGGAATCTGCTGGGTTACCTGAGTGACAGATGGACTTCTGGAGTGAGTCTTGGACAGCTTTACTGAAGTTGCTTAGTGCAGGAAGATTTATATCAGAGTGAAATAAATGAGTGTTGTTTTCTTTTTTCTTTTTCCCTCAGCTTGTCTTCAACAACACACCTATCAGAGGTTTTTTCTGAGTGGTAGAAAGCCATCAAAGAGGGGAGATATTTGCTGTATTTTGTGTGCTTTGCCTGAAGTTAGTTCGTGGAAACAGAATAGATTTTTTTTTTTTTTGGCATGAACCTTTCACTCACTGATGCTAGCTTGACAGCACCCCATGGATTCTTACAAAAGCAATAGCAAGCCTTGGGGGAGTCTGAACTCTTCTCTGTGCTGACATTGGGAACTCGGCACAGGATGATTCTGGCCCCTGAAGTCTATGACAAGGCTGTGAAACAGTATGACAAAAAGAACATGTGGTCACTTAAGACACTTAAAAACAGACTTGGCTGTATGTCATGGATGCATCTCTGAACTGACAGAGAAAGAGCTGCGAGTCTTAATGGTGAATCGAATCTTCCTTCCTCTAATTTATTATTCTAGTCTAGAAAGCAGTCAAAAAGGACATTAGCAAGCTAAAGTGTGCAATTTTAGCTTAATTCTCATAACCAAACCGGGAGTGCGTGACAGTTAAAAACTTATGTGATGAACTTCTGGCTATTGTTGCAACAGATGTTGATGCGTTTTAATATTTTCTCGCTTTTATAAGTATTTACATATTTTCCCTTCCAGTGAGAAGACCTTTTGTTTGCTGTGAGAAGCTATTATCTGGAGCGTTAATGGGTTTCCAGCTATTAAGATGTAATGATATACCTTAAGTATTTAACTATAAATTTGAAAAATCTCCATGAGCAATCTCAAAGGAATACTTAGAATGCACTCATAGTAAATTGACTCATTTTCTTGTAATTTACTAGAAGTGCTGATACAAGAGCAGTTGTAATGTGAAAAGTGTATTAATCCCTGGAGCTGCATTGTGTGTATGAAATTACTACTTTCAAAGTTCAAGACATATGAGGTGATTTGGGCTCACGCTTGTTACTTAGAAGCACAGTAGAAAAATAATCACCATCTTTTGAGGTAAGAAATTGGAAATATAAATTCAGCATCCTTAAAAACAGCAATGTAGTAATAACTTAAGTTTGATGTTGCATAACAATTATCTTTTCTAAAAGATTACTTTGGGGGAAGAAAGTCAACAGGAGGCCTTATAGTTACAGCTTGTTTCTTTCATTTTATAAAAGCCGTCTAGAAATACATTCACATGAGATATTCTGTAAAAAATAAAGCCAGTCGTTCTTGACAGCAAATCCTGAAGCTACTAGCTTGATCCCACGCTATGGAGTGGGAGGAAAAAAGTCCATCTTTGGCCATACTACTTATTAAAAGCAACTGCACTCTTAACTTTTCGATATCCCCATTTCAGAAACAGTTGTTAAAGGATTATCTGATTTTTTTTCCCCCTTTACAGGACAAGAGAGAAGTGGAGGAATTCTAATTAATTTCAATAATGTAATATCAACCAAAAGTTGTTTTTGGCACTAGGAGGCTGAATATCCTTGCTCTTCCTGGAAACACTTTGTGTAAGAAGTGACTGACGATTTGTAAAACTGTTGCCTAGCAAACTCGATCATGGAGATGCAGCTAGACCCCATGACGGATGACTTGCCCTTAATGGCCAACACTAGCCACATGCTTGTAAAACATTATACATTGGATTTGGATGTGGATTTTGAAAGTCAAATTATTGAAGGCATCATAGTTTTCTTCTTTGAGACTGGGAACAGATACAGGAAAACCAGCAGCACTAGTGAAGAAGGCTGCCAGTCACAGCTTGATGAAACCTGCGGAACTGGAGTATCTGAACCCTACCACATTCCTGTGACAAATCTTAGCGCCCACTCATCTAAAACAGAATATAATGATTTTGCTGTCTGTGTTAAAGGTGAAAAAGATACTTCTGATAAAAATGGTAACCATAGCAACAGGGAACAGGCTTCTGGGATTTCTAGTTCAAAGAACTGCTGTGACATAGAGAATCATGGGAGCACGGATTTTTTGCTGGTATTGGACTGCTGTGATTTATCCGTGCTAAAGGTTGAGGAGGTAGATGTTGCTGCTGTCACAGGCATTGAAAAATTTACAAGGTCTGCCAAGCTAACTGATGCTGCTAAAGAGCCGGGAAATCTCAGGAATCAGATTGTACATGAACTTGTGACTTTACCTGCGGATCGCTGGAAGGAACAGCTATACTATTACACTTGCTGCAGCCAGGCACCTGGCTGTGGAGAGCTTCTGTTTACTACTGGCACTTGGAGCTTGGAGATAAGGAAATCAGGGATTCACAGTCCAAAAGACTTTCCTCATGCAATAAGAATATGGTACAAAACCAAACCAGAGGGAAGATCTATTACATGGACTACAGACCAGAGTGGCAGGTATGTAGCTATTAACTGAAAGGCTTCATACGGATTAAATTTTAAGCACAAGTACACAGCTGAGCAGCTATGTGAAGAGGATGAGCAGTCCCCTTCATTTTTTTAATTTCTTCCTTGGTCTGAATACTATTGCACTCTTATAGGAGAGCAGGTTAAACTCTGTGCTCAGGAAAACCCAGTGCACTTGCAGACCTTAAGCCTGGCTCAATGATAGCATTCACTTATTATGAGTGGGAGTAAATGATTGTTGTGTATTGGATGTAAGTGTGTGCAGGGACTAGGGAATTGTCACTTTAGGGAGGAGAATGTATACATGCAGGTTATTTTCTGTATTCTTTTTCCTTCCTGCGTTAAGGAACTGGTCATACAGCATAAAGATCAGTATGCATAATATTTAATAGAATTGCTTCCCAGCTAGTCTTTTGTCAATATTGTAATAAGTTTAGAGATACAGCCTTTCCTGCTTAGTCTCCTATAATCAACTTTTAAAATCTCCTTCGTCTGTTATGTAAAATACATTGATGATAGCAAATGCATTGCAAACTGAGACTGTAAGAATTGCTTTTTATCTAGCTTTTGTGAAAGAGCACAGTGCTGTACAGAAACCTTCAAGATGAGCTTTTTATAGTAGGGAAACTACAGTCTGCTCTTGACTTATACAATGGTAACATTGTTTTGTTGTGATGTTCAAAGCTGGATTTTAACAGTTGTTAGTTCTTAATCTGTGACAGCTAAAAACTAGGAGTGAAGGTGGAAGATGAGGAAGAAAATCAGACCAAGTGAATACTTGCTTTTCATTCCTGAGCTAGAGATTTTTGTTTGGCTTTCATTTAAGTTATGGTAATATCAATTAGGAGTCTCCTCACTAACATCCACATTAGGGAGGAGGCCTTTTGACTTGTACATCTAGTATTTAGGCAATTTTACCACTATACCATGAGCAGCTTCAAGCCCAGGAATGTCTTACTTGTATTCATTACCTCCTCCCCTTATGCTCTCCCCTCCTCACACCCCAGAAAGTTGTTTCGGGTATGAGTGCAGGAAGTTTAACTCAAATTCTCTGTCTGTACTCATGAAAATTCTGAGTTTTGACTGACGAATGCAAAGGTAATGCAATTACCTGTAATCACACAATGTGTCTATATCTCCCTGTCCTTTACTTAAGTCTTTGAGACTAACTTTAGCTACACTTGCCTGGGGTGGGACTCTTCTTATGTGTGTTGCCTCATGTAAATATTTTGATCTCCTGAAGGTGGTGGGTTTTTTTGTTTTTTTTTGTTTTTTTAAACCATCTAAATCACTAAGAAATTCTGACTCTTTTCCCTTTCACTCTAAAGCTTTATGTATATTTTAGGGGCATTTCATGGCAGTTGAACACAAATACCGAATTTTATGAATCAAAAATGAAAAAGGAAAGCATAGTTTGTCAGGGAGACTGAAGGTAGCATATAGTCTCAAGCTATTTTATTTTCTGTCTCTTATAGGGTATTCCAGAAACTGCTCCCTGGCAGGAAAATAAGCTTTCATACGACAGTTCTTAGAAGCCTTCTTGTTAAATTTTTTTTGAAAAGTTCTGTATGTGGTGGACCCATAAATATAGTGGTCAAGCTCGTTGTGCAAAATGCTATCATATTTTTCTTCTTGTATCTAGAAGTTAGGTTCCTCCTGTTTCTAGAAGTTAAAAACATATCAGGGAAGTACTATTACGTTTTATTCTTATGAAAGAATTCTTTAAACTGTTCCAAATAATGTATATGGTGCTTTTTAGGCAGATGTCAACTCCTTTGCCAAAGGAGACTATAATATCTGGTTCTAATCCTGAAGAAAAGTCAAGTGAATAACAAAGAGCAAGCATTGGGTTGTCACTTCCAATATGTTTTCTCTGATTTAATGTTTGTATAGTGTTCTGAAATTTACCCGATGTGCTAATTATTTTATGAGGACTTCAATTTTGTTTGTTTTAAACAATGCTTTTATTGTAATTCGCAAAAAATCTGTTAAACAAAGCTTTGTGGGCTGGGTTTAGGCAAACTGAGATATGTGTATGGAAACCTGATATGGGCATAACAGGGCACATTTCAGTTCTCAGGACAGGAACAGAACACAGGGAATTTAAATATTTCCCTATGTTGTCTTTTGATACTGGAAAATACATTAATGATCAGAAAGTGAGGTTGTCTTTAGCCTTAGAACTTTTTTTTAATAACTGCTTTTTGGGGCTTTTATACAGAAGCATTAACAAGAGAACAAAAAAGAGAAAGCAAGTATATGTGTGTGAGTGTCCATGTGCATGCATCTGTCTCCCTGAAACACACACACACGCCGTGTGCACACCGTGTGCACACGTGTGCATATATATAAAACACTTCTGTCTTTCCAAAAGTTAGAGTTGCTAAGACTGCATCTGTTCATAAAACTGGCAAGTAACTTTTAAGTGATCAATAACATCATTATTAAAATAGAAAAAATTGTCTTCAGTACAATATTTGAAATATACTCATCAAGAGCAAAGAGAAAGCTCTTCTGTTTCAAAGCTTCTCAGTTTCTCTTTATAAACACAAAACAGGAGCATTGGGGTTACAAACTAGGAAGGTAGTGTTGAGATTTAAGCAGAGTTATATTTTTGTTGACGTATTCCTACTAATATTAAGTATTATAAATTTTTTTAAAAGCTAAATTTTGGAATTATATAGTAACCTCTTTGTGGAGAGAAAAACGCATGTAAAATATTTTTTTTTTTACCAGGAAGGAGAAACTGTGTGCCATCCCAGCAAAGTATTTAAGCAGGTTTGCCCAACTCTTAGAAGTGTGTAGCTCTGAGATAGCAAGGCTACCACTGTATTTCAGAGTAACTGCTTTCTCATGATCTTTGTTAAGAATCCGTATTCCACAAAATATTATCTTGGGATTCTTTCCTTTAATTGCTTAAGAAAAGGATTACACACAATTGGGTTAAAACTAAAGAGGTAATTTTCCTAGCAGACAGACAGCCTTGCAAATTCACCTATAGTGGGAGATTGCTCCCACTTTTCTTCTGCCTTACTTACCGCCACCTCTAATGCCATCATAAGTTACTTAATAATTTTGTTGATATTAGTAAGATAATAGAATTGATTATATTTTCTCATCACAGGGTTTGAAATGAAAGCGTATCTTTGATATGAAAGGCATCAATGAAAGACATTCCATGACACTGAAAGCTTTCAGTACTAGGACCTAATCCTGTTACTACCTGTGCGTTATTTATCCTGGCATATATTAAAAGGGCAAGCTATTTGGAGTAAAGTTGAGCACATACATTTATTTTTTCACACTGTGACCTAGATATTAGATACACAGAAAAAAGGAAGTTGTTGGAAATAAAGGGAATGAATTGAAATGGATATATATTTTTAGGGAATTCAAAAAATACTTTTGGCTCTATGTAAGCTTTGAAGGTGAATACAACAAGCATAAATCTATCATTTAGTAAAAGTGCTAATACTAGCACTTATTCTGCATTTTAATGCTTCTTTTCAGCTGCAGTGTTCAAATATATTACAGACATAGCTGAGCTGCACAGTTCTTTTTTTATAAATAATCTTGCATTTCCTTAATGTGCAGCTGAAGGACTAGACAGTGATGAGGTTAATGCCCTAATGAGGTGGTACCAAGATGAGACTACAGGAAGGCTGGCATGATTCCTAGTTATTTGTTAGCTGCAGAACACAGCAACTGTAGGTAGATACAAAGGCAAAATATATTTGAGAGTTACAGGGAGAAGATCACAAAAGGGTGAGACTTATATCTTCTTTGAAACCAGTTGTTTCAAATTTGGCTGTCTTTAAGATGTGTATGTTTTGAAATGCAGGTAAGTGTTCCAGGAGAGTAGTTGCAATTGTTAAGATGCATTGGTGAAGAGAACTATTCATAAATTTAGGTACTTCCAAAGATAAGCTCTGAAAAAGCCATCATCATCTTTGTCTCTGCAGACTGTCATACATACTATGACCTATACTCTTTATGGATTCTGAGGCATTCAGTGCATTTGATACTGTATCTGGTATTTTCAAAGCAAAATTTACCCATTGGAAAAGTAAGTCAGATTTGAAAAGTTTCAAGCAGCAATTTAGAATATGTTTCATGAAAATAGATATTTTTCAGTTGACACCAGTTAGCATTGTTCTATGTTTCGGATACTGGAAACGCAGGAAGGAAATGAATAGGTTGCTTCACTTCATGGGTAAAGTTTGAGAGAATATGCTACTCCAGAATCCAGGCAGGTTGCATACTGAATCCTAATATAGTTGCCATTGGCTGTGAGGAACTGCCTCCTGTTATTTTGTATAATTTTGTTCCCAGCGCTGAACAGTTAGAATGAACAGTGTGAAGTTTGTCGGATTGCTCATCTTTGAGTCAGTGATTACACATGGTAGCAGGTGTAAAATGCAGGAGTAAAGCAAAAAGGAAAAATCAACCAAACAACCAGGCAGACCCTAAGTAGAAAAATGAACCAATTTCTCTAGATTTTAAATTTTCTGGAAATATGGATGGCAATGATAAAAATGATTTTTTTAAAGTTTACAGTAGGTCTTCTGAATTTACAATAATAGCTAAAAAGGAAGGCTGTGAGATAATAGGCTCATTTTAGCGAAGTTAATACTTTTACAGAGTTATAGCAAGTTTCGAGACGTGGCAGGAGTAACACCATTCAAACGTAGGTGGATTAAGTGGATGCCTGTGGAACAAGGCAGAGGGAGGCAGCAATGGGTGCTGCGCACTGGGGAAGGGGCTATAGAGCTGCAAGGCAAGAGGTGTGGCAGGTAGTACCCATTTAGGGAGAAGGGAGACAGACAGCAAGGGTGCTTTGTTAAAACATGTGAATGGGAAGACAAGTCAGTCAGAGAAGACTGAGGATGAAATATTACCATGGAAATACTGTTTTCCATATAAACAGTAAAATTATTACTTTAACTACTTCGAACTTAAATCTAAAAGAAAGGTATAAACACAGATGATTG